CACAATCTTACTAGTTTAAGGGTCGTCAGTGTATTTAACTCAAAAACAAAACATCTTAGAATTTACATGGAAGGAGTATTTTCTTTTATCAACTAATCGTTTGCATGGGATTCAAACAAAGCCCTTAGTCTAATCGTGTTCATGGAGGAATTGAAATGCCTCCCGGCGGGTGTGATCAACGTGCACAATCATGATGAAGATGAAGCCATGTGTCTTGGACAAGTCTCCATCACCAACGCAAAAGGAAAACACACAGCGAACCGCAAGATGCGGCCTGCTGTGCTAGTTGGCGCAGTCGGACTCCAACATCCTCACCGACTACACAACTGTTGATTTAGAATTTACACACAAGATTATTCTTCTTTTTTTTGTTTTAGTAAGTAGATAGAGATTACTACACCTACATCTTTTTTTGTCATGGACGAAGCATCATGCTGCGTCACATTCCCCCTCCTTTCTTGTGTCATGGATGAAGCATCATGCTGCATCACATCCCCTCAAACAACAGAAAAAAGAGTAGTTCTTTGGGCATAAAGCTCAGTATCTACAACGGCGGTAAAAGTGCCGAACCTTGCTGCATCAACCTGCACTTGAGTCGCGTATGCCACACACTGTTTCACCGGATAGCAAATGTGCTAGTGCGTTGCCCCCATTGTTTACCAAGACCGCTTCGATTCGGTAAGCGCAAATTATTCGGCGGACTGGATGTCCATTAGGACTACACTTGCGTGCAAAAAGAAAGCGCTCCCGGCGTTCCTTTCGGTTATGATCGAACAATATTTTACAGGGCAGTGGGCTAACGCGAAAACAGCAGCCCGTCTCGAGCTGCAATGCCAATCATCATGCGCAGGCTACAGGCAGACGAAAAAAGGGGCCCTAGACGCGGCGAAAGTGAACTGGGGGTCTGGGGGACTGACGAAGTGAGACTGCCCTGCAAGAATGGCCCCTTCCAGAGTCCTCCACATAGCTTACATAGAGAAGATGAAACATGAATGAAATTATGAAAGGTCGAAAAGTGCACCTATTGATTGTATAAAGTACCTGCAACCAACAAACAAATCCATCCATCAACATTCGACAGAGCCAAACAATCTATTGTCAGAGAAAAGTGGAAATCAGAGGCATGCGTGCGTTGAGAAATGGTAGCCAAATGCTGTGCTCCTACTTTGCAACGCCGCACCTAAAGTTTGGGATGACGAAGGATTGGTTTCGGTTAAAGAAATGGGTAAAAATCAAAATCTTGTCGATGTGAAATGAATGAAATGCATACATGTATTTGTTTTAGTATAATTCACTTGTTCCTGCTTGCTTCTGTGCAGTATCAAGAGCTCCGGGCGTGCAGAGTTTGAACAGTTTGTGGTCGCAGGTTTATGATCAAAATCCACATCCACAACCAGCTTTCATACCACCTTAACCGTAGTCAAATCAAAATCAGTCAGCTTTCATACCACCTTAACCGTAGTCAAATCAAAATCAGTCATGGTGTGTAGGATGACGAGCTTTTCATACCACCTTAACCGTAGTCGAAATCAAAATCAGTCATGGTGGTGTGTAGGATGACGAGCTTTCATACCGGTCATGGTGTGTAGGATGACGTGAGGCTATGGCATTGCCAAGTGTCAACAGTCGTGTACGAACAATGCGGAAACCGGATTTGGCATAACTTTCACCAATTATGTGTACCACCAGGCAAAGCAATAAACAGCTTTCGCTGAACCAAGCTTGTAGAATGCAGCAGGCGCAACACATACCACGGCTATCATTTTCAACGTGGAAAACGATGATTAAAAAACCTATCCACCACAGGCATGTGAAAAACTGATCTGGGATGGCACTTCTCGAGACAACAATGAACAAGGTAAGGAGCCAATCAGCAGAAGTCTCATCAAAATAAAATTACTCTTTGAAGTTGGGAAAAAACACATTGCAGGATACAATATATTAAGGTTCCATAACTGCAACATTATCCTAGGGCAAAACATCATTTCAGGAAACTGTCTAAACAGAAACCCTTCATCAAGACTGTTTGGACATGAACCAACACGGTAGTACTTTAAGATTTGTTGGAAGGTAGCTGCCGTTGCCATAAGCCGCTGCTAGCTTATCGCTTCTTGGAGACACCAACAGTCTTTCCACGCCTGCCAGTAGTCTTAGTGTGCTGGCCACGGACACGGAGGCCCCAGTAGTGACGCAGACCACGGTGGTTCCTGCAAAACAAGTAGATGTAAGTGATGATTTAGGAAACACATACATATAATGATAAACAAAATTCTGAATTTGAAGGCCTGAGCTACTACAAGGATGCAACTACGTATTATATTCACAAAGCAAGAATGGTCAACACTGACATTACAAGAGAATGCAGCAGAATGCACAAAAGACAGTTTTGGAAGTGACAATGCTAAAACTGTTTTGGAAGTGACCAACAAGAGACCCAAGACTCAGGAGTCAGGACTGAGCAGATAATCTGCAATTGCGAGTTGGGTACACAGTAACTACTTGGGGAATCAAACACATATACCCAGAGCTACTTCAATCAAGTCTCAACTAGTTCGATCCGACAGTTCTAAAATCACTGTGAGCCTAACCAAACTTCTGTAACAATGACCATAAGGCCAACCAACAGTATCCTGTGTCAATCAGGTTTCCATCTCATTTCATTGACATATACCAGGCCAACCGACCATCGGATGGAGAAAGCAGTGCACAATGTACAGTAGGCCTCGATCATCAATGACAGTTCAAATAACCCAGCATACCTGCCTGTGTGTGTAGATGGATACATGATAGCACATTATTGTAGGTAACTGAAGGCCCAAACATGCTCAGGGGATCAGGGATACCCTAAATGCTACGTGCTAGACAGACATTTCCCAACTTCATAAGCTAATACAACTGGCTGTCAGCGACACAAACGAAATCAACAATTCAGACTAGTATAAACATGAGCTAATATTAGCGTATTAGACCAGTATGACATGTTGCTATAGTTAGGTAAGCCTACAGATAAATGAAAGTATACGAATGTCATCTAACAGCATCATTTCTCAACGAATAATGTATGCATTACTGTTAGCCATTGCATCTAGCAACCAGGGACGGAATATTATATATGTTATACCTGATCTTCTTGAGCCTCTCGAGGTCGTCCCTGAGCTTCATGTCGAGGGCGTTGGAGACGACCTGTGAGAACCTGCCGTCCTTGTAGTCCTTCTTCCTGTTGAGGAACCAGTCCGGCACCTTGAACTGCCTGGGGTTGGCCACGACCGTCATCAAGCGCTCCAGCTCTTCAGAGGTCAGCTCGCCGGCCCTGCACGCCCACCGACACGTCACAACATATCAGCCCCATCGTCACAAGCGAGATCTGATAAAGATCCTCGGAGAGAAAGCAAGGTGCTTGCCTCTTGTTCATGTCGATGTCGGCCTTCTTGCAGACGATGTTGGAGAAGCGGCGCCCGATACCCTTGATGGAGGTCATGGCGAACATGATCTTCTGCTTCCCATCCACGTTGGTGTTCAGCAGACGCAGGATATGCTGGAAGTCCTCACCGGCGATCAGCGACTGCGGCCACAGCATTGTCACGGAATCAGGACACGATACAAAACCATCTGCACACCGAGAAGCAGCGGGGAGGAGTGGGAGGGGAGGTTACCATGGTGGCCGCGGCGGTAGATCGGTCGTGCGGGGCGAGGCGGCGACGGCGAGGGGGGGGCAGGTGCTGGTGGGCGTCCGCGCGGCTAAGGTTTTGGAGGCGGGGTTGTGGGCAGGCTTATATACGGGAGAGTGAAACCCTAGAGTTTCATCGGACGGCTACCATTTGACGGGCCAGCGGAATATGCAGGCTTCGTTCGTGGCTTCGTGGGCCTTGATTCGGCTCACGGGCATTCTGCGTTTCTTTGGGCCCACGTGGACTGTCAACTACTCCCCAACCCATCACCGAAACGCACGGAGCTAGGGATGAAAACCGACAAAAACGACGAGAAAATCCCCTTCCCGTATTTCATTTCTATATTTTTTTTTGCAGAAACATGATTTGAGTTTAGAAAAACCGAGATAAAAAGCAATAGCGTGATATGCTGATATACGGAAATAGACAAATAATATAGATGGAGAGCTAAAAAATTAAATTAAGATATCGGATATTTACCTGTACACCATGCGTGTTAACAAGCGTAACTACTAATTAGTGATTATTAGTAGATATATTAATGTATATTAATATATAAATATAGTACAAAGATATGTAATTATTAGACATCCTATAAAACAAAATGGAAACGAGATAAATACACGTTCATCCCCAATAAAAAAAGGATTCCACAAAAACAAACAAATAAAAAAAATCTCTATTATTTTCCGCCTCATTCCTATATTTTTCCATACGAAATGGGACAAAAGTACAAAACCAACCGGACGAGATGGGATTTATTCCGTCCGTTATCATCACTGCAAGCGCGTACTACGCGGAGCATGAACACCAAACACGCCCTCCTGAAGCACTTCTTCGCGGCTACCGACTTATTTTCCCTTTTTCGGAAGGAACCAATTTAGCTTTGAAATTGTACGAACGACTACGCGTCAGGCTAGGCATCTTCCAACGATATGGGAAGGCGAGATCAGGGCCAAGACACTACAGGAACGTATCGCCATGTCGCCATCGACTGGGATGTTTGAACCGCATGGAAATGCAGTCTTCTTTTAAACGATAAGGCATCGTTACAACATAGAAAAAACAACTTTGTATTGAGGAAAATACCAGAGTTCAAAATGATCATGCAAGTTCGCACTTGGGAAAGCATCTCTAACAGTCTAACGTGCGACAAGTGCAAACGCAACGCAATAATCCAATTCCTCTTGCATGTCCCACCTTGAGATCCATTTGCCGGTATCTATTTGGATATGGTCCAGGTATGTGACGCACAAGTCACAAGTGCCTTGAACAATTACAACTGAAATATGCCGCCCAGCCATATTCATCCATGTCTTTCTTCACGTCATGTTACTTCTGGAATTGAATGCTGTAAGAACCAGTGTTTGGATCTTTGACGGCTTTGAAATTGTCAACACTCATTCCGAAGCGGCCCAGCACAGAGTTCCCCAGATCTTTCAGCTTTGCTGCAAGAGATAACATGGGTCCCTTAGTAGCAAAAAGAAAAACATGTCCATTACTTGAACACCAGCACAACGGCACATGAAATTATCTGTAAAAAACAAACAAATCCTGATAACAGAAGGAGGGCATTGAAATTAATGTTGTTCAGTGGTACGCTTTGTGAGCAATGTAAAACTTTGGCATTTTCCTTGCACAATATATCTAACTCCTAAGCACTTCACATTTCATCACCGAGTGTTCCTTGAAAGAATATATCATGACAGCAGAGATCTGCATCTGCATGTACTCCTAAAACAAACAAGTGCAGCAAGAGAAGCCACTTTACAGAAGAGATGTCTATAGCTTTCCACAATGATGTCACAAAGCGCCAATAACGCTGTTTGAGATACTTGAAAAAAGGCAGCACATTACCAATCATTTCTTCCTTCATCTTTTCCCTCTTCTCAGCTGCCAGGGGCTCAAGTCGGAAAAGCAACCTCGTGGCTTGTTGATTTGAAGGATCCACTTCAATAACCTTTTTCATATCTATGAACAGTGATAGATTGACAGCAATCAGAACTTGTGAACTTGAAAAATGATGCATGCTTATGTGGCAATAATGTGAAATTGACACATAAAAAAGCACATAGGAGAAAAAACATCTAACCGGCAATAGCTTCATCATAGTGTTCAAGCTTTTCATGTGCTTCTGCCCTCCGGAGCAGGGCTTTCAGGTATGTTGGATTGAGTTCAAGTGCTTTTGTACATTCTTTAATCGTCTCATCATGTTTTCCCTATAATAACATAAAAGTCGCATTGGGGTCTGCTTGAAACGAGACAAAACAGCTTTATTCGATGCCCTCTGAAGCAGGGCTTTTAGGTATGTTGGATTGAGCTCAAGTGCTTTTGTGCATTCTTTAATCGTCTCATCATGTTTTCCCTAGTAACACAAAAGTCAGCATTGGGGTCTGCTTGTAACGAGACAAAAAACAGTTTTATTCGACAGATATGGTGGTCCAAGTAAATAACTAAGAGACTAAGGTGAATAGTACACATATTTGAAACTAGACTAAACAAGTGCAAATATTTAGCAAAACTAGAGCAAATCAAAGGATTTTGACTACCAAAACAGCTTGAGACTAGCAAGTTCAGGCAGTATATTCAAAACAGTGTTTGCTAGCAAACTTACACAGGAGTGCAAGGACAAGCCCTCTGTAGGTGAAAATAGTAAGAAGGAATCATATCGATCAGGGGATAACAGTAGTGGTCGTGGGCCAGTGGACACAATCTTTATGAAAAAATACATAACCACACTGTACTACTGAATTTTCACGACATTAAGGAGTAATCATGGCACACAAATCTGTATATTTTTCTCTGCCCACCAAAGTTATGTTCCAATCAGGAAAATGGCTTACCAATTTCAGGAAGCATACAGCACGATTAGAATGGCATGCAGCACGTATATCCTCAGCAGATTCCAGCTCAGCAGCAATTTGCAATGCCATTTCATACTGTGATAATGCTTCCTCATATTGTCCAGCGCCAAAAAGCTTGTTTCCTTCTGCTTTTGCATCATTTGCTTGGCTTCTAGCTTTCTACAACAAGTAGAACGAGTACTCATTTACCAGAGTGCAATAAATCTCCCCAGAAAGGATGATATAGAGAATTCAAACCCAAAGTAGCAAATAATTTAACAATATAATGTGCTTCAAGCAATAGCCTCCAATAGGTTGTAAGATGATAATGAATTGAATTGCTGTCTATATCATGTAGTGGCAGTTACTGCCAGAAAAATTTTATACCAAACACTACATCAAATTGTATCCTACCTAGTTTTTCCGCAAAACTTAGCAAATTTTACAGATAAAATCAATTCTGGATTATCATTATCTTGCAAAAGAAACAGTTACATAAAATGTGTAGCACTAGCATGACAGTGAAAATTCGAGAACAAGTCTTTTCATCGTAGCGTTGGGCACATCAGCTATGTATATTTCATATGCATATGCATAATTTTCTAGAAGATAGTTTGCCTACTGCATTCATTCATTTTGTACCTATTTATAACCAAACAGACAACTGATCAGCATCTCCTATAAAGCATGGTATAACCAAACCACAAAACTAACTTTCATTCCAATTGAGCATGATACGAAGCTCAGATATTGTATTTTCATATCTATGAACAAAGGGAGCACTGTTTCTTCGTCAGGTAATCTGAAGGACTTGGCAAATTAGAGAATATATGAAGTCTGATCAATGGAACATAGCTAGTCAGACACTAAGTACTAAAAATATCACCATCTTACAGATGTTCATAACAAACAGAGGCGGTTCTGGGGGGTCATCACTACCTAATCAAATCTAGCGACAAAACTACTTGTGGAATACTCCGCTGCTCCAGCTCTAAGCACGAATCAAGCAATCAATCCAACCTAGTTCAAGCACCAAGCAATTGAACCCCAGATTCGAGCATCGCAGTCGACAACCGTGAGGGGAAATGCAATAAGGATGCGGGGCGGTCATGGCACTACCTCTCGCAGCTGCTCGTCGGTGAGTGCGTCCTCGAAGGCCTCCTCCTCCTCCTCCTCCTCTCATCCGCCGCCCTCAACGCCTCCCCGCCAGCGGCGGCCACCGTCTCCTCGGGCGCCGCTGAAGACGAGGGGCGCGCCGCCTCCCGCCGGCCGCGGCGGCCGCCTGCTCCTCCGCCGCAGGCGACGAGGCCTCGGGCTCCAGCTCGATCACTACCATGTCTTGCCCCCGACGGGAGGGTTCGCGACTTCGGGGTTGTTTGCTTCGGCCCAGGAACGCTACGCTGCCTGGGCAGACACATTTTTATGTCCACGAAGCAAACAAAGGCCTGCTGCCGCTCTGCTCCCTCTCTCCCACGCGGCATGCCGTATCTGAACGAAATCCAGCCCAGTCCATGAAAAGTGCCGCATAAATACATATGTCAAATATAATCAGCCTGATATAAACAGCACAAATACATATGTCAAATATAAACAGCCTGAACGAAATTCAGCCCATTATTTTCAAAAAAATAAATTCAGCCGATTAAACATTTCCGCTTGTACTACCGATTCAATTGGCGGAATTGAAAGGAGACCCTCTGCGAAAGCCCACACGCTACCGATGGCAGAAGAACAAATGCAAATGCAAATGCAAATACAATGCAACAACTGCTGCTAGCTTACGCATAGCTCCTTTCAACATACCATATCCCGGTGCATATGCCACACCGTATTACATTACATTAGTACATTACACGTCTAATCTTACTTTGTTGCGCACACGCGCTACTATATATACTTTATTCTATCATATACTACATATATATCGTCTCTGATCGAGACCGGCATAATCAAAACGTCATCAGTACAACCCAATCGATAATAGTACAAGCAAACAGTAGTAGCTAGTATGTCATCCTGGCAACGTACTACATGCCAGCCAGTTGCTGTGTGTGGTACGACGCCGAGATATATGGATCAGTCTGTGTCTGTCACTGGGAGGATCGGTGGTGTCCCTGGAGATCGATGAGCGCGCGGCGGGGCTTGCGCGCCGGGTTGGGGTTGCGTGAGGTCTTGATGGGAAAGGACGCCTCCATGGCGATGCCGCAGAGGCCGCCGTTGCCGGCGCCGCGCTGCATCCGGATGTAGCCGCCCTCGCCCCAGGAGGGGCCCCACGAGTTCTTGACGATCCAGTAGGGCGTGCCGTCGTGGCTGACGCCGTAGCCGACCGTCGCCACGCCGTGGTCCAGGTCCGTGCCGCAGTCGCCCGTGAACACGCCCTCCGAGTAGAACTGGAACGCCTGGCCCCCCGCGTCGATGGCCACGGACACCGGCTGGTGCGCCACCGCCTTGGCCAGCGCGTCCTCGCTGCCGGCCGGTACCATCTGGTGGCCGTCGATCGACACCTGCACCCGCCCGCGCCCCCGGGACCGCACGCCGTCGCAGGTGCCGTTGGAGGCGTGGTACGGGTACGCGGACTCGGTGGTGATGCCGCCGTAGGACTTGATGAACTCGAAAGCGTTCTCCATGAGCCCGCCCTGGCACCCGTTCTCGGCCGTGTCGCAGTCGACCAGCTCCTGCTCCGACAGCGACACCAGGCGCCCCGTCCGGATCGCGTTGATGCCCTCCACGGCCACCACCGTGGAGAAGGCCCAGCAGCTGCCGCAGCGGCCCTGGTCCTTGACGGCGGTCACCGCGCCATGCTGGCGCCAGTCCACGGACCGCGGCAGGTCGGTGGCGTCATCGTACATGAACCCCGGCAGTGGCACGGCCGGCGCCGCCCGGCGGAGGTCGTTGACGCGGGAGTCGGCGAACGTGGACCGGAACTCCTCCGGGCCCATGTCGCCGAAGCGGTTCAGGCGGAGGCGGTAGGGTCGGTCGCCGCGCTTGTTGTGCGCGTGGATGAAGCGCACGTTCTCCTTGAAGGTCCCGAACCGGCGGCCCTTCTCGCCGTGGTGCCGGTGCACCCGGTGGTGCGTCTGCCACCGCTCGTACAGGTCCCACAGCGCCTCGTCCGATGCCAGATCCCGCTCGTCGAACTCGATGGCGCGGCACAGTTCCACCGCCGACACGGCGACCACCAGGGCCACAAGCTGAAGCGTCTTAGCGAGCTGCGCCATCGATCCTTGCAACCTCCTACTAGCACCCTTGTGTGTAGTTAGTGGCTGGCTGTGCTAGCGACTGGGGAGCTCGATCACTCGGCTGCTGGAGTGTGAGCTGATGGGTTGGGACGACAAGGGACGAGCCGTATTTATAGCGCGGAGCGGGCGAGAGGCCGCCTTGCCTTTGCGGCGGGAACGATTTGATTTGAATTGATGGCGGTAACAGAAAGCGGGGGGAGATGGTGTCAGATTCAGCTCGGGAGTTGAGGCTGAGGCGATGAGGCCGACCGATGGCGGCTGCGGCTGCGGCAGCAAGTTGGCTGCCTCGGCTGGGCTCTTGCGCTGTCCCTGCGCCCTGCCGTTGGGGGCGTCGAAGATTCAGGCTAGATTCATCCGCGTCTCCTTCCATGGATCATTTGCGTCCGATGCCTTCGTGGTGGGGGTGTCCGGGCCGGCCGGCTGTATTGATATGTGTGCAGCAGTTTTATGGATGCTACTAGGTAGCCATGGTGTGATGGCCGTGGAGGAGATCACTGATCACAGGCGGCGTTAATGGCGGTGGTCGCTGAGGCCGAGGAGCTATGGGTACTATGAATCTATGGTTGCAAGTCGGTTGCGATAAATCTATGGTTGCAAGTCGGTTGCGATAAGGATTCTGGGCGTTGTGACTGCGGTACAGGAACAAGATTGCGTTCCACAGATTCTTGGACATTTTCACGTCTTCTTAGAACTGAATACTAGCTAGCTACGGTAGAGCGTAGTTTAGCCAGGCCCACAGCAATACACAGGACCCAACTCTCAAGGGTCTCAGTTGCTGGCCAGGAAAAAAAAGGAAAGAAATCACAGTAACCGGGAGTGGTGACGACGCCTTGTTCTGAAATCTGAACTGCTGACTGATCCATAAGGGCTTCACCAATGCATTTTTTTTTCTTGTAGCCCCAAGTGCCATATAGGATGGGAAAAAAAGTAGGTGCTCTAAACTTGTCGTAGTAGCTTACAGAAGCTACATATGTTTAGGGAGAGAGAAGGTAGTCTAAGCTAAAAAAGAAGAGGGAGAGGAAATAAAGATGAGGTATGATGGAATGAAAAAGTTTTTTTGCAAACCACAAGTAGTAATGGTTTACATTGTATAAATAGTAGTCTCAATATTTCTTAGTCTACGTGGATCACTTTATTTGTACTAAAACCACTACGTGTTAGTGTTAGCCTTGGGTGGTGCCCTAACCCCAGCGCAGTGCTGACGTCATTGGGAAGAAACCTTCGAACTCGTCAGAAATCTGAACTGCTGACTGATACGTTGAGCTTGAACAGAAAAAAAAACGAACTCGTCAGAAGTGCGTGTGCTGCTTTTCAACGTCCTCCGAACCAGCTTTCAGGGTTGCTCGGCAGATGTTCTCCTGTGGGATCTCCAGTCCAACATGACGCTGACGCACCAGAAGCGAGCAATTTTAGTTGCAACCTCAAGCGTTGCCCTTGATAGTAACAGAGCGACGCAACATGCCAAGCTGGCAGGCGGCAGCTAACAGCAGAAATAGATCTACGACAGCAAAGTAGCAAACGCATATGTTCACGTGGCAACAGACAACCTTAGAATTATTAGCAAAGAAAAACTCTAGGATCAAACAGAGGAAACAGAAGCACCAAAGGCGAAAGAGACCACCATACGCCTTTGCTGTAAATGCTTTGTTGACGCTTTATAATCAGTAAAGCGGGGAAACCTCCTTTTCTAAAAAGAGACCACCATGGGTTTTTGGTGCTAAACTGCTAACGGAATGTACAAACTTTCTCCTATCCCTTCCAAGACTCTTAAAGTTACTGCTGCTTTGCCTTACTTCTTTGCTTTCGCCTTCTTGGATGCATCATGATGGCCTGTCCTGCGCTTGTGGCGGCTGAAATCAGAGACGAACCTGAATGTCTGTCCGCACTTAGGTTCAAGGCAAACATAGGGCCTATCGCCTGTGCGAAGCCTCATGTGCTCTGTCCTAGCTAGCCCATGGGCACTTGAACGCCATGCTGCAGCCCTCCCACTGGCATTTCAGTGGACAGTCATATGAGTCATCGGTGTGAAACTTGCGGTGCTGCAACAGATACTTGTGTGAGAAGAACTTCCTGCAACAGCCTTCCTCTGGGCATATATCATTCTTCCTTGTGCTTTAGAATAGCCTTCAATGTCACACGCATACTCTTCCTTTGTGCTTTGGAGAACTTGGGGAGATTTCTCCATTTGTTGCTTTTTTCCATTTTAGCTCCCTTCTTACGTAAAGACAATCATTGTATAGTGATCGAACATCCCTCAACATCATTTTAGCTCTCTTCTTCATCCTTTTGAGAAGCTGGACTAGGAGCCTTTCGCTTTTCTGCTCTAGTTTCCTTTGTTTTCTTCTTCGCGTCTACTTTGGTCTTTTGCCTTAGGGTCGTTTGGATCCCTTTACTTTGAGGAATTCAAATCTATTTGGCTTAGAATTTGACATTCCATAACTCTTCCAAGCTCATAGATAAACCTATCTCAAATTCATAGGTGGGAGATGGAAATGGATTCTATAGATCACTATGCTATAATTCTATTCTTGAATTTATAACACACTCTTTAACTCACTTCCTTACAATAGAAATGTAACATATAAGTATGTCCTGATGAGGACATGACACCATCGGATTCGACCATTGATTATAAGATGTGCTCGATCCTACATTTGCATAGTGACTTTGGGTACAATTCACTTGGTTTCACATGTACATGTCGTTATTTGAATGTAGGTACAAATGTGTCTCAAAGTGCAAGTCCATCAAAGTTGAACTTTTGGTTCGTCGGCAGCCCGATAGTGCTTCATTGGGAAGGCCATAACTCATCCATCCGGAGTGCGATCGAGGTCAATGAGCACTTGATAGAAAGCTTGTTTGGTAAGCTTTCAAATAGATCTGGTCCCACCTCAATATCACGTCTGCAAGGCCTCCAAATAATCAAGATATTCTATCGTTGTTTCTACCGGGAGCTATATCGTTGTCATGGGCTTGTTATTCATCCTTGGGACCATGGCTTCTTTGGTGGGTTCTCCATCTTCTTGGGGTGTGCTCCCACTTGGGCCTTATAATCAATGGTCGAATCCGATGGTGTCATTATCCTCTTCTTCCATCTTTGATCTCGACATGCTTTTCTTATTGGCAATTCTAAAGAGCTGCTACGGACTACCATCCTAGCTGGTGTGCGGGAAAGATGCTTCTAAAGGACCTTTTAGTGCTTCCAAAATGACCTTTTCAGTATGTTTTAGTTTCTTGGTATT